GCAGCCATAGAACAAAGAAGCCTTTATCTTCAGTAACAATCTCAAAATGAAACTAGCTTCATCAAACAATGTTAAAGATCTCCCTGGAAAGAGAAACAAAACCAAACAGACCCTCCCCACCCCAACCCTTTGGATATTAGAATGATTTTTTTTGTACAATACCGACAGCCACTAGCTCTTCTAATTGAGAACACTTGCTTTAATTTATTACAAAAATGATCTGTTGACTCAGTTATGAAAGACAACTTTTAACATTGCTTTAGAAGTGTCTGCTCCTCTTATAGACTACAGTATTAGAAGTGCTTAAAAACATTTAATCCTGGATATGCTCTTGAAATTGAATCAGGATATTCTGTGTGTGTTTATATACCAAATATGATTTTTAATTTTTAAAGCAGGTGAAAAGACTAACCCTAATATGAAACTGCAATTTTACAATTTAATTATTAGTCGGATATGGGCAACCACATGATAGTTCATGAAATCTTTAGGTCTATCTACATTGCTCAGAAACACAAAACAAAGTTTTTACAACTTTCACCTTCAAAAGGCTAAAATGTTCAGTCTTTTAGAAGAGTGTCCAGTGTTTAAAAGAAATGCAGTTAAGGGAGACCGCATCCAACACACATGAAACAACTCGTTTGAGCTTGCTAATCAACGTATCTGACAGCTGTGGGTGGGGTGATGAGGCAGGAGAACACTTGCCATCCAACCACCACCTGAGGTGTTCCTTCTCTGGCAGTGAATCTTCTCCAGGAGCTCCCCTTCGGAGCCCTCCAATCCCAGGGATGTTGCCTCTTTTGTTTCCATGGCTGGGCAGAGCTGACCCAGTGCTGGCCACAGATGCACCTCTGGGACTTCACACAGCCCCTCACTCAACTGCTAATGCAGAGAATCCTCACTCAACTGGCAATGCAGGGAATCCTTTGCAGGCTCGGCCAAAAAAGTTGAACCAATGAATGTTATTTTGTTCCCTTCCTTGTTAACTATTTATCTCCTACCTAAAAAAAGAGGACGTGTTCATGGGAATGCTATCATTACTGGCCAGCTTTTAAGTAAGAAATTAATACTTTTAACATTTGCACTGTCACCTCATGGTCTGTTGGAGATGTCTCACAGAAGTGCAGTGCTTTCTCTTTCAGTGTCTCTAAGGAACTAAGGCAAACCAATAATAAAAGAGCCCTAATTTAGAAAAGTCATCTCCCCAGTCATGTAAATAAGAGCAGCTATACTAAGCCTATTTCACTGAAATAATAATACAAAGAGTTGATATTGATCTGGTTTCTGCACAGACTCCAAAGTGCTTTCAATTGACAGACAGAGAGCATCCCTCCATATTTAAGAGTGGGAAAACAAAACTGCCCAGAGGTTTGCCCAGGGCAGTGAAGAAAAACACGGGCAGAATTGGAACCCAAACCATCACTCCTGGCTCCAGTACATAAACCAAGGAGAAGAGTATGTGCCAGCAGTAATATTCATTATAGTGAATAGGCAGCAATCTGTTTAAAATTGTTTCTTTCATGAAGCCCATTTGTCAGTACCCCAGCTTAGCTGAACCAACAGCAGCAGCTTGCATTTGTGTTATCATAGTGATGTTTGGGAGAGGTGAGTGTATAATACTGTAGCATGTTGTTGGCTTTCACCTTCACTGATGAAATTTTTTATTCTCCTTAAAGGAAATAACTTTAAAATTCTCTAAAGCAATTTATTTATCTTTTTTTTTTCTTTTCAGTTAAGGACAGACAATTATTACCAGCCAGCACTGTAATATTATTTAGTGCAAAAGACACTGTATCCTGCCCAGCACACAAAAGAGAAGAATTGTTTTAAACTTATGCAGACTTTCTCTCAGCTTTAGCATGAGGGTGTTAGTCATTTTTTTTACTCTAAATAATTAGTAGCATTTTCAGTGTCAGGGCATATTTGTGAAAGGCATGAGATAGACAACTCTGGAATCTCCTGTTTTTCATGGAGCCGTTGAACAGATTCTCCCAAACCTCACTGCCAAATGTACCTCCCCACAGCCTGACCCAGACTAGGACCTTCCTTGGGCAGGAGAACCTTTAAGTCTGGACTTCTAAAGCTCCTGCAGGCCACTTTGTGCTTCGTGCTACACACATGAAGGAAGATGGACTACATGCCAAGGGACAGACTAACCCAAAGATGTTCCTTGAAAGAAAAATCCAGTCTTTCCAAAGACTGTAAGGGAAATGCTTAGAAATGCCTGATGAATGATCTCCTCTACACTGAGCAACTTGAGCATTACAAATACCAACTGAACAAAGAGAATGAGCACAACTAAACGTGGAGAGAGGTTAAAACACACATATCTTGTCCACAATGAAGCCAGTTCCTGCAGCCTCCTGTTCCAGGGGGATTGGTGAGAAGAAGCAGCTGTGCTATAAGGAGGGGCATTTATTGCTCTTCCAGAAAAGCCTGTGCAGGGAACTCCTGACTGAGGCTGAGACACATGGGAACAGAGACCTGTGTGATGGCTGTTCATGCAGGCTGAGGGGGTTCTCACTTGCCTCATCAAACTGTTCCCTCTGACCCTCAGAGAGACAACCCTGTCTCTGAGCCCCAGGCCAGGCTGGATGTGTAATATGGCCTGGTGTGAGCAGTTCTCAGGTGACTGAGGAAACTGTGACCAATATATGATAAACCAAGGAAGAACATGCAGCAGTTTGGACTTGAAATGTGAGGCTTTGACAGCTGAAGCAAAGAATTCAAGCTGGATCCTGAGGTCTGGGAGAATGACCTTAAGAATCAGCATCTTCAAATCAGATGCTTTACTGGGTCAGCCAAGCTTGATTCCCACTGCTGATGGCACTCTCAGCCACAGTTTCTGGGATGACTGCAAATTGAGATGGTATTAAACTGTTTTTACAGAGAGCTGTTCTGCCTCTGAACTGCCAGTTACCAGGAGTCTCTAATCAGTAGGGCCAGATGGACACTGTGATATTGAATTCTGCAGTTTCCTAACGCTCAGCTTGATCTCCAGTACCTGCTTGGCTTGATTATCTTCACACCTTTCTGAACTTCACAAGCAGCTTTTTGTTCAGAAACAACATCTGAGTCATGGCCATGCTTGTGAAAAATCTCTTTTTAGATAATCCAGGTCAAGGGTGCACACTCAAGAGTTTGTTATTTTTTCCTTCATTATCCCTTGGTTTAAAAAAAGCCTCCCATCCAACAGAGAGTGGGAAAAAATGCTACAAGACTCAAGTGAACCTTGAGACGCTGTAGAAAATGGATAGCAAACACCTGACTTACAAAAGCCTGTAAACCAATTAGTGTTCATCTGACTGCTCAGTAAAGATTTAAAAATAAAAAAAACATGTTTGCACAATTCAGGATCAGATTGCATAATTTCTGATTCTTAAAAAGAGCTAAGTTTGCTTATCTGTCTATTTAAAACAAGCAACTAGATCTGAATATATGCATTTTTTTGGAAAGAATTTGTATTGTAATTGAAACGGAGGCAGAGAAAATCCATCAAACCAAATGGCACGTGGTCACATAGTGGAAGTGAGAGGACTGTGGTCCTACTCCAGTCTTGAGTGCAAGGTGAGCTGAATAATTAAAAAAAAAAAAAGGCTATAAGAAAGAAATCCTGTGGGTTTTGTTGTAGGCAAACCCTGTCAGGGAGATCTCTAGGACTGTTCATCAGCACTAGAGATGTACAATATTAAGTCTTTCGTTGCTGGGCACTGAAAAAGTACAACAGTTCTGCTGCCCCAGTATCATAATACTGTTTATAGTTTGTCATTCAGGATGGACACAGTTAAGGGATGCAGCACGAAATCTCCCTCAATTATCTTGTTTTGTGTCTCTGCTCTTCCTCACTCACTGCTCCCAAGGAGGTGGAACCCAGAGGGAGTCCATCCTAGGCCTTTGGGTGCACACCTTGAGGATTCAGGATATCTAATCCTACCACAGTGTCCTCTAAGCATCAGCAGTCAATGAATGCAGCTCTCATCCTTCCAGGACTTTGCACTGTCCCTGTGTCTCCACTGGTAGAGTCCTAGAGGTGCAGAGTGAGGAACTGTGCCAGCTGAAAGGAGAGCAGGACAAGGCACAAACGCTGTCCTTCACTGCTGTCACTCAGAAGTCATCCACCACTAGACAATGCTGGTGGCAGCTAAGATGTATAAGGCCAGCTCCAACCTGTATGTGCAATTGGTTCACCAGCTTTCAGTAAGGGTTTTGTTGTTATTAGATGGTAAAGAAAGAAAATGTTAGTCTTCATCAGGAAGCTGAAACCATTACAGATTTGATTTATAGCTGGTTCAGAGAGCTAAAATTGGTTATAATTCTCATCTATTACTACCTGCCTAAAATCTTGCATCTTCTGTAAGACCTGCAATGCCATCATCTGCCATGGCAGAGTGGCTCAAGCCTCATCTCCCTTTCTCAACTTTTCTCTGCCAGTTGCTTTGTGCAAGTCCTGCCCCTGTCATTTCTCTCTCCCTCATGACCTCAAGTTGCTTTACTATGAATTCCAGTGTCTTTCTCACTCAGAGACTTGCCACTACTAACCTGCATCTTCTTCCCCCTCAGCACTGGACACATAGAACATACACCTGACAGTCTAAGGAATTTTGACTATTAAAAGTTCCACTGGAACTTCCTTGTACCCTGGGATAGCTGCACTACAAGCTAACAGGGTTTTAGACACATCAGGCCGGCTTCAGATGTTCCTGATGACCCAAAGGTGTAAAATCATCAGTACAGTGCAGCCAACACAGCAAAGAGCACGGGGAACCAACATGCTTTACAGAACACACTGCCTGCAGCTGGGGGGACAAAGGTCTTCCAATTCTTGTTGAAGGGAAGTAACCATATTTTTGCTCTGGTGTTCTTACCAATAATAGATAGGGGTATACTTGAGAAGAGCACAATTCTGATGCCTGAGGTTCTGCTGCTGATCCTGACTGGTCCTGTTTATAGCAGTTTTTGTCAATGGTTAAAGGATCCTGGACAAAGGATGAGGAGGGAGGTACTATTTCAGAACTGATATTTTATTCAGCTGAGGATCTAACTGAGGGGAGGAGTCATGGGGTGCTTGCATGACACATGGGAGGACTCTAAGTGCAGACACAGCCTGTAGGTTCTGCTGCTGCCACTCTGAACCTCCACAGCTCAGCTCTAAGTCATCACAAATCCCAGGGTCAGCACAAACCAGACTGTTGAACTTCTCTCTTGCTACCTGTTTGATATGAGCAACTGTGGAAAGGCCTTGGAATTTGACTGCAGCACAGAGAATACTTTGAGTTTTGCTCTCATTTCAGCAGGTGCAGGTTTGAAAAATAAATGGACATTTGCTTTCCAGGTCACCTCTCACTCAGTTTTGTTCTATCTGTCATTAGAAACAGCACAAAAACTAGTGAAGGAGAAGAGCTTCAAATAGGGCTCCTTTTCTAACTAAAAAGTACTTGATGAAACAACAACAGAAGGAAGTGCAAATCTCAGCTGGGCTGGTCCCATGACATCACAAACCTTCAGCATGGCAAGTAGCATTCTTGAATGCACCAAAATCTTGTCTGTTAGCATTTAATGCGAGACATTACAAACTAATGAAGAGGAGAAATGTATGCAGTGTTGCTGTAAACCAAATATACAGATGTAAAATAATTAAGAATAAACTGTTCCATAAAAATGCATGTCATTAAACCCCAGACTGATAAAGTGATTTATGAAGAATTTTCTAGAATTGCTAAAAAGAATGATTTCTCATTTGAGGCTCTGGAAGTCTTGAGTCACATTTTGTTTCTTTTAAAAAAATGTCTTAAAACACATGGCTTTACAGCTGCTGCTTGGAAAATATACACCTCCAAAGTCTGACTTTCATTTAAATACAAATGTACAAAATGTAAACTGAGACAATAGAGAAATTTACAAAACTTTTCTTTAAAAATAATAAAGACAAAATTCAGTTCTAGTATGATGCTATTTAAATACGTGCAAGTAGTCATGTTCATTGAATTTCTATTGCAATGTTCTAAATAGACAAATGTGATTCACACAGTCTTGAGTGCCACCTCCAAAAACAGACCTGAGTGGAAAATTCTTCTTAAAATGCGAGGCTCCACTGGAAGGAATGGATAGAAAATCTCCATTTTGGGAGATCCCTTTTATTTTCACTCAATGGTGGAGGCTCTCTCATCCACAGAAGCTCCAGAGATTATAGTGGAAGGATGCAACACGTTGTTTCACAAAACTGAGCTGGAACTAGCTGCTTCCAGTGGAGTTTGAACTCACGTGATTTGAATTTATGTGGTGATTTAAACTGGCCTTTGAATTTGGAGAGCTCTTTGAATTGTTCTGATGCTGTAGAGAGAGGAAGACAACGGCAATTAGATTTGCAAAATATGCCATGCTTTTATTTTTAGTCCAACATTGCTCATTTTACGGTGATAAGGTACTGACTGGACTGCAAGGTTTTTTTGTTTGAAGATCTTTGGATGCAAAATATTCTTTACTTTCTTACCTGTATTCCCTCTAGGTCAGCAGGACCATGGCAGTTCTTGAGGAATGAAGCAAAGAAGACTCACTCGAGCTCCAGGAGTCAAATCAATTCACTGCAAAATGTCAGTATCTGCTAAATCTGGCTAATACAGAGGATACCTGCCAATGCTCAGGCATGGTTTTAACTCTACAGAAACAGATCAGTCTAACAATGCTATTGAGATTTGCAAGTGGTGCCATGGGGCCTCATGAAACCTGTACATCATGCATGATCTGGTCTGCTCTCTTTTTACTGTCTTGGTTTCCTGCCATGACCACCTCCCTCAAAATTTGCATTTTCTTTTCCTTTTTTTTTTTTAAACATATAAATCAAGGATTTTCACAAGGAACTTCAACTGCTGGAAACAAAACTCATGAACAACACTGGAACTTCTGGCAGTAAAAAAAAATATAAATCACAAGAGGTAAATGGAAAACCTGGGACATGCAGGATTAGCCAGGGAATTACCAGGTAACTGTGACAGCCAGCCCTCTCTGAGACACTCTGCCTTCCTCCTAACAAAAATACCAGCAGAACATGGCTGTGACACTGGGCACCTGTGGGAGTTCCCTTGTCTTAGCCATAAAAGATCTCACCTGTCGCTTAAATATTCTCTGTAGCAATCCTTTCTTGGGTGGCTCTGGGGGGTAGCTTTTGTTTAGGTCTGGTGAAATAGTACCATTTGGTCCAAACACATTCAGCTCCTTGAAGCACTCTGTTTCTATCATCTAGTGGAACACAAGGAGAAAGAAAAGAAAAAAGAGATGATACAACTGAATTAACCAAATTCCAGTAGCACTGGGTTGTTCAAAGTCACCAATATGTTGGGAGGGTTAACAGTTGGTTCCTGCTGGTGTCCATGGAAGGCAAACAGGATGTGTGAAAAGGAGAGGCTGAGTCTGCTCTGCACCTTTGCACATCACTCTTGTCAAAAACTGCCCTGTGAAACTTCCTGTTCTTTTCTTTAGCATTGTGGAGAATATTTTGGGTAAAGGCAGGCACACTTACAAAACCCCAGTTATTAGCACCCCTCTGCCCAAGTGGATCTGCTGTTTGATACAGAGTTGGATTATGAAATCTACTGTTGGCTGTGTTTTGACAGCAAACAGAAAGAAAGACTCAGATCTGGGAACCTCAGAGCAGTTCAAGGTCCAGAGTCAATGCTGCAGCTGGGACCCACTGCAGGTACAAGGCAATGGGTGACATCAGGATCACCAGTGGAGGAGCCTTCTTCTAAGACTTCCAACTATCCCAGAAAAGCTCCCGAGAGCTGTTGCTGAAACACCTCTGCAGAAATCCAGGAGAAGGAAGTACAGTAGGATCCTGGCCAATTTACACAAAGATCCAGAGCCAACAGATACAGTCACCTGGACCTGACACCTGTGGTACATTACAGAACTTGAAAGGGGCCATTTGTAACTCATGAAAGCATTAGAGTCTGGTAGGTTCTCCAGTAGCCATATATTACTGGAAACATACTGCTCCTCTTAAACCATCTGCATTTGGGCTTTCATTGGAGTAATTTTACTATGATACACCCTTACCTCATTTTGCCATGGGATAGACACTGATCCTGTGGAAAACTTGGAATAGAAATCATCATCTGTTTGGTCCAGGTTAACTCCTTTCACTGTGGAGAACTGCTCGATGTCCAACACATCCTTGCAGTACACTGCTCTGGGCTGTCAGCAGCAAAGAAAAGAGAAACAACAAGAGAAAAAATGTTTCTAAGTCGGATCATGTGCTTTCATTCACATTTTCAGTCAAGTGAGAATGTCTAACAACAAGTGTGTGTCTGCATCCCCTTTCTCTAGACTTGTTCTGCCTGCCTGTTCATCATCAAAGGCTGACTTCACTTTAAGCACCTTAAGATTCCTATTTCGAAGTCCTTAAAGCATCAGTCAAAGTAGGTTTTAGTCATCCATGTACCATCTGGTTAAGAGGTGAGAGGAAAAGAACAGAGAAAGCAAGAAAACAAAAATCAAATCCTTCACCGGTCTTTTCTTTTAGAGTGGAAACAACAGAAAACCAGAATGTTTATGAGACAGCTCTGAAAAGAGGCCTCAAACAGAAGTGCCCTCCTGGTCAGATAGCTGTGGGGTTTGCAGCTTAAAAATTTAAAGGAATGTACACTAATTGCTAAAGAAAACAGAGGAGGTTTGGCATTTTTCCATTGTTTTTATTAATAGCTCTGCTGCTGGAAGCTGTCCAGAAGCACCTCTATTAACTCTTCTAACTTGTCTGCATTTGTTCAAAGAAACAGTCAAATGGCTTTGCCTTTTTGAACTACTTAGCTTTCTGGGATGACAGAGACAGAGCTCTTTGCAGTGACGTGGTTTTTAGCTCCTATTCCAGCAGTCAGCCACAGAGAGCAGAAATGGTCATCACTGGCTCCCTGTCACCCTCAGTGTGGTCACCTGTGTGCCCAGAGAGTTCCCAGCTACCCTCTGATGTGCAGGGATAATCGAGGGGTGGCTGGTGGGACCAGCCTGACCTGCTCAACTGCAGCACGTGTTGAATCCTACTGCCTACAGATGGTACCATGACTGCCCAGGGCTCCAACAGTGCAGCACTTTATCTGAGCACTGTGGCCAAACAAACAGAGTTGACAGAGGTCCTGTGTGCTGAAGGCTGCATCCTTCTGCATTCCAGATGGCTGTGATCCACAGCAATTTTGTGGACACAGAGTAATCTAGAAGAGGATGGAGAGACACAGGTTGGATTCCAACCTCTGCCATTGGCTATATAGCTTTGGGTGATTCAGCTGACTTCAGTAAAGACTGGGAAATCTACGGATGAATTGGCAAACAAATCAAATTAGGGGCAGCTCTTGAGTTCCCGATAAATAGCCATAAAAATTTATGTGCCTTTGCTTTAGCAAATGTGTCTCTAAGAGGTGCCTTCTGGGCCTTTCGTGCCTCAGCTAAGCTTTTAACACACTCTGGCAGATCCCAAATTTGAGCCCAGAATTTTCTAATTTTCTACATCAGAAAGAAATAGTAGCTTGTCTCCTGTTTCTTCCCACTAAAGCAGGTCGTAACACCATGGGCTAATTGGCAGGAGTAACTAGGCCACATAGTAAAATGTAAAGCAAAACCAGAGCAGCTAAAGTAAACTCTCGTAGCATTCAAACCACTTTGGTTTGGTTGAGTTTGCAGCAACGTGAATGAGAGCTGCCAAGATGTTACTTTCCTTAATAGATTAAAATGGCAGTGTTTACTTAGAACCATATGGGAACTTTAAGGATAGAAGATCTAGCCAGAAAGAGAGCCCTGCGGGAGGAAAATCATCAGATAACTCTGTGCACTGGGGTAGAAATTAATACCACAAAAGGGTGGAAAAAGCTTTGTTGTTACCAATGCAACAAAGACTTTGAGTATGTGTGAGTCTGGGGTGCAAACCTGAGTAAGGACTCAACGTTGGGTTTCATGCCCCATGAACACTAAAAAGTTCAAAATGCTCTCTCAGGTCCAAGTCACCTTCTCTGCTGGAGGTGACACCTGATGTCATAATGACCAAGTCAATCCCCTGGCTCCACAGAGCTTTGGACTTTGTAGTTCTGGTTTCACTCAGCATGTATATCTATAAATCTGTGTGCATACATGTGGCTCTCACTGCTGGTGGTGCCAAGCACCACCTGGTCCTGAGCACACTGATCCTCACACCACCACCATGGGTAAGGGAATACAAAGGTTTCCAGTGCCTCCAGTGTCACATGGAATGCTGTGGTAAAATGATTGGGAATGAGTGAAGGCCCAGGTGACCATCCTGTGTGGAGGTTCACCCACCCTGCACACACACACCTACACAGCTCCCTCTGCTCTTCCTCCCAGCACCCCCACTCCAGCCCTACCACTTCTCACACCTTCCCATGCAGACAGTGGTAACAGCCCTGAGAGAGAGAAGTTATTTTAGAAACAAATCTCTAGAAAGAGGCCACTGGGGGTTCTTCCCATCGTACTTACATCAGGGACAAAGGGAGGATCCAGCATTCCTGCTTCTAACCGCTTGAAATTCATGCTCTTGAAGAAGGGGTGCCTCTTCACTTCTGCTGCACCTTCCCCCTGACATCCCAGCCGCTGCTTCACGTCTTTGGTGAGGAGCTGAAACGTGCCAAGAGGAGTGGTGAGGATGTCAGAAAAGCAAGAGCTCCACAGAGATATTTTTATCTCCAGTTGGTTTTGAACGTGCCCAGAGGGAAGCACAGAGGGGAGGTGGAATTGCTGCTACTTAAAGGCTGAAGTTAAATGGATTAGGACTGCCCTGTTCCACATGCTGGTAAAACCATTTGAAAATCACCTGCTGTAAAGTATTTACAGTCAAAATAGAGACTGTTGCTTCTGCTTACTTTCAGTGAACACTCTCAAGAAAAGATCTGACATTCCTTAATAACTTATATAGATGCACATTCATAAGTCTCATGTGTTTTTTCTCATTTTTTTTTTCTTTTGTATGGATGGACTAATTGATCTGCAAGGAAAGAGTTCAATAATTCTGGCACAAACTAGTTGGTGGATGAGCAGACAACATATAGCCAAATCATCACAAAAGTGCCTCTACTTTTAAACCATATGCATAGGATCAAGCAGGCTAAGAGATCACAACTAAACAGTTGAAGAGAGGTAGAGCTCATTGTGCAAGTGACTGGTTCAAAAAGACCATCACCTGGGACAGGGACCTGTCTAAATGTACCACTGACTTGAAAGGCAATCTGCTGAAAAGTGAAGGTTCACAGTTTTGTTTCCCTGTTTTCCCTTCCATTCATCTTCAAGGAAGCCTGCATTATGCTCAGATAAAGATGGGAAAATACAGCTCCAAAATCACCATCATCTGCCAGAGATTTCAGCTGCCTACTCAAGAGATGGGCAACTCATGCCTTAGCTCAGCAGCAAACTAAACATGCACTGCAAACGGGCAAGGCTGGCTTTGCTGGGTGCTCTACATTTTCCACACCAGTGGAAAATGCTCCAGGGAGACCCTAAAGCCCCATCCAGTACCTAAAGGCACTGCAAGAGAACACGTTGCCCAGAGAAGCTGTGGCTGCCCCATCCCTGGAAGTGTCCAAGGACAGGCTGGACGGGGCTCGGAGCAACCCGGGCTGGTGGAAGGTGTCCCTGCCCACGGCAGGGGGTTGCACTAGGTGTTCTTTAAGATCCCTTCATCACAAACCTCTCCGTGGCGCTGCCAGTGACCCGGCACTGACAGGAGGGGTGTCTGTCGTGCCGGTGCCGCCGGGAGGCAGCAGAGGAGCGCGAGCGCGCGGGCCGGTCCCGGGAGCATCCCGGGAGCATCTCCCGGGGCCAGGGCTCCCCCCCACCCCCGGCTCTGCTTGCCCGGAGCCGAGCCGGGAAGCACCGCTCGCCCCTGCCCGGGTGGGCTGCGCTCCGGGAATGGCACTGAAAGCCCCAGCGAGCCGAGGGCACTGCCCGCCCGCGGGAGGCTCGTCCTGGACCGTCCCAGCTGCGGCGGTTTTGCTTTCCAATTCATAGAATCACAGAATCAGCTGGGTTGGAAGGGACCTCCGAGATCATCAAGTCCAGCCCTTGATCCAATCCCACCGTGGTTCCCAGCCCATGGCACTGATGCCACATCCAGTCTCATCCTAAAAACCTCCAGGGACGGAGAATCCTCCACTTCCCTGGGCAGCCCATTCCAATGGCTGAGCACCCTCTCTGGAAAGAATTCCTTCCTAATATCCAACCTAAACCTCCCCTGGCACAGCTGAAGACCCAGCCCTCTTGTCTTGCTGATCATTGCCTGGGAAAAGAGACCAACCCCCCCTGGCTCCCCCCTCCTGTCAGGGAGTTGCAGAGAGTGAGGAGGTCCCCCCTGAGCCTCCTCTTCTCCAGGCTGAGCCCCCCCAGCTCCCTCAGCCTCTCCTCACAGCACTTGTGCTCCAGTCCCTTCCCCAGCCTTGTTGCTCTCCTCTGGACCTGCTCCAGCCCCTCCAGGGCCTTCCTGAGCTGAGGGCCCAGAACTGGACACAGCACTCCAGGGGTGGCCTCCCCAGTGCTCATTGTTGCACAAGACTTTGAGCTCCCTCAGTCCTGAGGCAAGGTTTTTTGTTGCGAGTATTTCTGTATTGGTTTTTGTTTGTTTGTTTATTTGTTTTGTTAAATCCCAACAGTCACATGTTCTAGCCTATGTGAAGAAGATAGCTCTGGAATTTCCAGTCAGAATCCGGCTTGCTCTGTTGTGGTTGGGTGGAGGAGGCAAAAGTACTTTTGATCTTCTATTCTCATGCTGATAGGGCTTTCCTGACAGGTGGAAAGAAGAATCTGAAGGCAGAAAGACCATTTTTACGGCCCCTGGCTCTGATATACTTTTGGAAATGATACTTTGAAGCTTTCAGGGACAGCGCAGCTGAGGAGCAAGAGGTAGTAGGAAGGGGTAGGCTGGAATTGCCTGTAGATGACAAAGGAGATCCCCGCAGTTTCTGCTCTCAAGTGAGCTGTGAAGGGATGAAAGGGGGTTACATCCTGTCTATGTAGTCTGGACTCTGGATTAAGCGGGAAGACCAAACTAATCTGTGAATTTACCCTTGTCAGGCTGTAAGTTGTTTGGAGTGTGTGGTCAGAGGATAGGGTAGCTGAGGATAGAAAAAGGCTGCCTGGGTACTCCTGGGCTTCTCTGTGATAAACAAGGGAGTGTTCAGCAATTTCAGATGTGAGAAGGGAGTCTCTGGAGCATGAATGCAGTTGGCTGTGGGTGGTTGGACACACTGCAGGCTGAAAGACACAAAAGGGAACAGGCCAGTGGGAATAGGCTGGGACTGAAAGACCACAGAAAGGAGAGGATTCTCCTGCAAACTCCTGCCTGCCTCTTGAGGAGAGTCCCAATGGAGAAAAATGTAAGAAATTCATGGAATTTGATAAGCTGTAGATTCAACCAGCTCTAGAGATGGCAACAGGTGAAACCAGACAATTTTTCTGGCTTCTGTTGTGGATATCAAGAGATAGCATGGACTATAACATTTTCCAGAAGGAAAAAACCCTTCCTTTGTCTGAGGAATAATGAGTCTTTTACCATTTCCTGCAGCCCCAGAAGCTTTCTGCAATAGTAAACCTTTGCAAGAGCCTGAAACATGCATCCCATTTGGGAATCTGACCTGGAAAAGAAAATGGAGATAACAACTGTATGTTTTGAGCCACCTCTACACTTTTGTTTAATTCAGCTTCAAAGGGTTTATTTAATATGAACAGAGAGCAGAACAAAAGCAACTACATCAGGCTGGTGACAAGCCCTCCTGGGACAGCAGTGCAAGTGACCCCATTAAACATAATTTCAGAGTAATTTTACAGCCAAAGCCTGCAGATAATTCACAGAGTTTCAAATCTGAAGACGTCTTAGGCCACCCAACCATGCATGAAGTTGATACCAAGCAGCAGAGCTTTATGTTCTGGTAGCAAATGCTCCAGATGACACTGGACATTTAGGGTTTAGTCTACAGAGTTATGGGCAAAGCATGACTAGAACAGGATTTTCAAAGAGAGTCCTGAGTAGCAGCAGTGAAGTTACATCAAGATCTTGATATAAAGAGCTTTCTGATACTTTCATGTCGCTCATTTGATCCCCACTGGGGATTCAAACTCTGCTATGTCTGAGACTTTTTCCATGACTTTGTTTTGTTTCCTTTTCAAAAAGAAACAACTGTTGTGAGGATTGCTAAAAAAAGCCAGCAGCCCCCAAAGCACTGCTTTATCTTCTTGTGATCAATCAGTTCATATCCAGATCATACCATGTAATAAACAATTCCAAGTCCTAGGATGTTAGTCCTAAAATTATAGGAGTAAGGGGAAACAAAAAATTGCTGCTCATGAAAAGAGACAAGGGTAAAACCATTTCCATTGACCCAGCTGATCAAATAGTTTAAGGAATCACCTAGATAAATTTCAACCCTGACACAGAGGTAAGCATACTCTTTTCAGCAATTTTTAGAGAATAGAAAGGCAGTACTATGGTCCCCTCTCAGTTACTAAATGAGAGAAGAGAGTGGAGTGGGAACTGAAGATGCCAGAATGACATGAATGGCTGTACATCATCCTGCTTATGAAATCACAGCCTCATCTGGCCAGCTGAAGAGATAAAACACTCTCAGGCGTGGGTGACAATTAAGCTCATTGCAAAGACCTACTAGAGAAGATTTATTATTATTGTTGCTGTTGTTATTCTCAATAGCAACAATAATCATTTGAAGAGCACCCTGACGTGTACGAGGTTCCTCCCAAGACAGATGGAGATCAGTTATCCTCGGGCAGCACTGGCAAACTTGAAGGTGTCATTATGTGTGAACAAGTTGGTTTCTAGGGATGAGAGCAGAGAGGAAGGATGAAAGCAGGCAGGAGTAGCTGTGGGATGACATTTTCTGGTGGTGAGGTTGAGAAAAAAATTGCTTTTAGGGGAAAAAAGAACCCATCACCTTTTAGTTGGTTGGGGAGGCACCTTGGGAAAGGAATGGAGATTAGAATGGTGGAACAGCCATGTCTGGAGATTGCCTAGTCCAACCCCTCTACTCAAAGCAGAGCCACTTAGAGCAAGTTGTTCCAGACCTTGTCCAGCTGGGATTTGGATAACTCCAGGTGTGGAGACCACACAGCCTCTCTGGGAAACCTGTTCCAGTACTTGACTACATTCACTGTGGAAAAGTGTTTCCCAATGTTCAGAGGGACCCCCCTGTGTTTCAGTTTGTGCCCATTGCCTCCTGTCCCGTTACTGGGCAGCAAACCAAGAGTTTGGCTCTGTCTTCTCTACACCCTCCAACCAGAGATCCCTTTTGTGGAGTAAAAAGGGAGCTGCAGGAATAAAAGGCATGAGGGAAGACACTTTGTGGGAAACATAGAGAAGCAGGACACTGTCAGAAGAACAGAGAAATATGGGCCCATCCAATTCTGCTGACTTGAATGCACTTCAAGTCACATCTCTGGATGCATGACTGCACTTGTCAGAGAAGACATGCATGTACATCAATGAAGTACAAGTCATAACAACAACAAACAGGGAGCATTTCCTAGAAAGACTGGAGTTTTTTCACAGAAAAAACACACCATGAAGCAGTTATGTTATATGGGAACTATGGGTTGGGGAGCTTCCCAGAAAGCCAGCTGCCCCTGTTCCTAATTATTTATTATTCATCTCTGTTTCAGTCCAAAATGAGGTCTGATTTATGGGAAATTGCTTACAAAATGAAACATGGAAATATGGGATGGATGATGATTAATGGGAGCTATGATATGTGCCTGCAAAAATGCAAAAGGGCACAAACATCCTGCAGGGGAAGGTTGACATGGAGTGACACTAGAGGGCTTTCATATGAGCAAATGAATAAAGACAATATATCTCCTGATGGCGACGCTATGAGCTCATGGAGCAAGCTTTGAAGAGAAGGTTAGGAGACATGGTGAGAAACATGTTGTTCCCCACTCCTACCCTGAAGAGTCCGCTGTGGGAAAGCCTTGTTGTGTCAGATCTTTGTGAAGGCTCAAGTTAGATTCATGTACTGAAACTTCATGTTTCATTTTGCAGACATGAGGGGTAATTAATTGTTACTTTTTTGTGTCCTTGTTAAGATGCTGGTACAAACTAACAAAGTCCTGCTTTTCAGCACAAAGAGCAAAAAGAATTTGAGAAAATGCATTTGAATAACGGATTTTTAAAATAAAAAATCTTGATAAAATAAATCACTTTTGGATGTAAAACCACAAATGCCATCACACTCGGTACCAGAACTAAGGCACTTCCTGCCTTGAGGCATTAGTGCTCAAAAAGGGAAGGGTTATCTTTGGATCCATTAATAGTTTGCAGAAACCACCTAAATAAACATGCCACGTGATTGGACAGGGAAGCAGCTAATGATCAAGTTTTCAGGATGATTTATATACAGTCCATGCTTCCCTGAGGCAAGGGAATGAACTAGATGACCTCCCAAGGTCCCACCTCTGTGAAACCAAAGCCTCCATGGCTTGAAGATGACAATGACCACTACAGTGTAACGACTGTCTGCTCCCCTGGAGTGGTAGCTCATCTACAGCACTATCCCATCAATGCTGCATTTAATTCTTCTCCACTTTAAGTTCTTCTGGGCTTGCTTATTTTCAACGTATACTTTCATTCTGTTGTGCAAGAGACACAAAGAGTAACAAGGAGGGCTTCTACAATGCGTCAGCCAGAAAAGGGGGCTTGGGCTAGATGATCTTTAAAGGTCCCTCCCAACCCAAACTGTTCTGATTCTGTGCCTCATGCCTGCAAATAACTAGGGAATAAGCAACAGGATATAATTTTTGCCCACTACATTTCTATTCCATACTAACAGCAGGATATGCACAAACCCTCTGCCACTCCAGCAGACTCTACTCCTCACCTGGAGACAGTTAAGATGCTACCTGAGAAGAGAAGGCTGTTTGAGCACATGAGATGGTTTGTAAGAGTCTGTGACTGTCCTAAAGTTTCCCGTGTCAGCTTCACTGGGGGCTCTGAATCTCCAATTAAGGGCAGTGAATGGCCTAGAATATCTATCAAGAGTGATGTCAGCTAGTTACCACCCAGGGATTCAGCAGTGAGTTGGTGCACTGTGAGTTAATAACTTCCAGGCACCATACTTGGCAATGCTACCATTATTATTTGCAAGGAGACTTCAGTGTCTCTTCCTGAAGCCAGCCAACCAGAATGTCATCGACCTGTTTGCTTGCCTGTTGCACAAGACATTGGTGAAACTCTCACTACCTATTTGTTGACCTTTCTTTCCCCTCATTCTCCCTCTACCAGCATACACAGATATGTCATTGCCTCCAAAGGAGACTTCACTCGTTAGCAAACAACATCAAGAGAAAGGCCACAGCCCTTTCCAAACTACAATTCCGCCTTCTAAAGATGGATGTCAACAAGACACTGATGAATTCAGACACAGCTTTGAGATTTCTCGGAGGGTTTGAGGATTTCCATTGTCAGACATGGCTATTGTGCTACAAAAATGACTCCCAGCTGAAAGAGTGAGAAAACATTTTGAAGAACAGCTCAACAGTATTAAGAAAAGCTGGATACCCTGCACCCCAGGGGAAAAGCTGCTAACAAACTCAGTAAGATGGGCTGGGACATTTGAGTGTCTCAATAATTTCATTGCATAATCCTTGTCCTGCTTACCCCCAGCTCTCACCAAAGACAATGGAAGCCTGGGGTTTTCAGTTCCTTGCAGGAGACAACCAGAGTCTTGCATCATCAAGTCCTTTTTATTTTTTCTACAATGTTATAAAAGACAGAAATGCATTCCTGACTGCAAACTAACATTCAAAGTCTCACGAGAATAGATACCGCTCCCTTGGCCTTAAAACTTTGGAAAGGGCTCCAGACGACCGTGATGAATCTCATGGAGAAGCAAGCCCAAACAAACACAATTAGAATCAACAGAGAATGCAGTCACCCCCTCAGCAGATGAGCTTGGTTAGTCCTTGTTTCTGCAGCCCCTCTGTGGGATAGTGTTTCTGCTCAGACCGTGTCACACACAGCTTGTTAACGGCGCTGCCACAGCGGGCCTTCCAGCCCCTTACCATTTTACAGATGGACTTGGCCTCCTCAGAAAACTTGTGGGAGTACACCTCTTCTGTCTCCAGCACCCTCCTGTCCACTTCTTCCCTCTTCACCTTCTCCTTCCTTCCACGAAATGGTGATTGCCCAGCAATCATTTCATAAATGAGACAGCCTAGCCCCCAGTAGTCAGGGCTGAGCGTGTATCTCTGGTTGTTCAACACTTCTGGAGCTGTGGAGGAGAGTGATACGTCTTGTGGAGATGCTTGATATTTAGATAGGCAAAACAAACGTCTAGAACTTTCATTTTGGTGACTGAACACACATGCACAGACGATGGTGGGTAAAATACAAAAATACCTCCTGATTTCCACTGATTGCATTACAGAGAATGCAGCATGCTACATGCCATGCTGTTTTCTCTACATGCTACATGCCTTGTGCATGCTGCCTTCTGACTTCTCTACCAACTCAGTCCAATTAGGGAAAAAAAAAAAAACCAACCAAAAAAACCCAGAAAGAAGTTGAAGCTAAATATTAAGCAGAGACCTAAACTTAAGAGTCCCTCCAGACTTCTCCATTTAGGGAAGAAATGAAATGCAAACACACATCCTGTGAACGGCCGTGACATTTCTTCAAAAGCAAATTCTGTCTTTTTGGTCAATTGGTAACTTATTTTTTTTTCTCTCCCACTTTAAAAAGAACAACCCATTTATTTTGTGTTGCAACCACACGATGCTTTGGGCGTACAGTCGCTGCCTTGCAGGCCCCTTCACTGCCATGCAGGGGTGCAAACACACACACACACACGTGCCCACAAGCACAGAGCCTCAGTGTGCACGCAAACTTACACTGGGATAACAAAATTTAGACATGACAACTGATTTGCTTGCTTTCATTAAAGTCTCCCCATGGTGTAACAGTGGCTCACATCAGCTAGTTTCTATTTAGTCAAATAAGCACAAGCAAATTTTTACTCCAAGAAATATGCCCACCCAGAGAATGCATGAAAATAATTACATTGAATTTAGAAAACAGATCTAGTTGAACCAGGGAGAGTGTTTTCATTTTACCAGTGCACAAATCTCTACTCTTCTTTTGTGCAACCTCCCCTGCACAGAATGGAAGACTCAAGATGACTCTGGTCAAGATGACCATAGGTGTGGACTTACCCATTTTATCACAAACTATCATTTTATCACTTACTATTATTTAAAGTAGCAACTAGAAAGAAACTTTTCTTTTAGCACATAACCCTCCTAAAATAAACCTATGCTTAAATCACCAGAATCCCAGTTGTTGTCTCCCCTTTTCATTTTCTTTGCTGATTTAAGGTTATAGACCAGACTCACTGAGAGCTGCTGTGGTTCATCCTTCTGATTTCCCCTGCCATGATTTCTGTGTGGGTTGCTGCAAGGAACTGGACCCAGCCTAATGTGAATATTTTTTATTCTTTTTCTCAAGCTTACATGGCAGAAATATCACGAGAAGTCAAGTAATTATATAAAAGATGAGCTGTAGAAGACTTACCCATATACCCTACTGTCCCTACTCTTCCACGGATTGATTCACCCTCAGGGATTTTAACAGCTAGACCCAAATCAGATATTCTGATATGGCCTGGAAGGAAAATAGAAACAAAAAACCAAAAAGCAGATATAACAACATGACCCAAATTAGTCCAACCCCCCCAGCTGTGGTCATTGCTACAATACTCTTGCAATTTACTGCTCAGACTTTTTAAGAGAAGAGTGTTCTGAATCACTGAATTGGAACAGTTTCATTGATAAGGAAAAGAGGAATTATTAAGGAAAAGAGGAATTATTATGGAAAAGAGGAATTATAAAGGGCACTACAATTCAATGAAATTAAAGTGAGGTTACGGACGGGATTGGATTGTGTTAGACATTTTAAAACCAAGGAAAAAAGGCAATGAGAAGCATGCTGTGGGGAAGTGTCTTGAACTGATCAGAGAGAATGGATGGGCTGACATAATTCTGTAACCCTCTGATGGCTGAAGGGGCTACATCTGGTCTGTAAGTCAGCATGAGATTCGATTATCGCTGCCTTCAGCAGCAAACGGGTACCTGGGTTTGCACAGAACGAGACTCAGCTCAGCAAAGGATGAAAACACTTTTGAAAACAGAGTGAGAAGCACAGATTTAGAAATCAGAACTTCCTTTGTATTGCATCAGCCTTGCAGCAAGAAGGACAGAAAAACAATGCAAAGAAGGCAGAGAGCCCCAGCGAAGCACAGACCCTGCTGAGCTCGAGCACAGCCCCGGCTGCTCCGCTCCATCTGTGCAGGAGCTCCAGCAGCTCAGCCTCCCCTGCACGGCAATATTAGTGTATGCTGAGCCCCTTAATCACTTCAGAGCATTATTTGTCTTTGTGCAATATATATCCTAAAACTAACTTAATCTGCTTTACTGGGAAAGCATCTCTGTAAACCTCTGAGACTTACCATAATCATCCAGCAGGATATTTTCTGGCTTCAGATCTCTGAAAATGAAGGATAGCAGTCATTGGTACGAAGCTGGTTTTGATAACATAACCATACAACTGTGCGAGTGCATTTATTACTAGTAATAAACCAATTGAGTGTCAACCCAAACAGCGAGGAACTCCTGAAACCAATGCAACCTTTTACAACTCACTTCACAGAGAGACTGAAACCATATGTCTTTTTCTAAACTGGAGTTAGAATTTTTCACTAAGCCAAGCTTTTAGTTCCTAATCTGCTCCGTAATGGACTCATCCATCTAGTGCTGTAAGCCCTGTAAACCAAACCCTGTAGTCCTGTGTGTTGTTAAATCTCTGTTAACATTTTCTGTTGTAAAATCTTTTGTCAAAAAGAAAAATATTTTAAATTTTAAAATGCTTTATTTGCACATGAAAATGGAAGTAGCAATCTGTTGGGCTCGAGTTTTCCATGCCTGGCATCTGACTCAGACCAAACATGTGAATGTGTGTCCAGGCACTTGCACACACGTGTAATAATTTCACCACGTTTGGAAAAAGAGGGGCAGGGGGGGAATGCTTTGCCCAGATTAAGACTCTTCATACAAACATTTGTGAAACTCTAGTGCCTATGTGGTTTGGAGTAACGCCACGAAAATTGGCAAGGTGGTCACTCTGATGTCAAAGATGTGCCTTTTACTGCTCCTGTGAAAAAAAAAATAAAAATCCCAAATCTGGCCAAGTTATAAACTTCTGAAATAAGTAATCTCAGTTTTCATATATTTAGCAGAGCCTTGGCAGATCATTCTTCTGAAAGGTTTGTCTGCACGAAACCCACTCCACCAGCTGTTCCTTCTAGACGCTGCCCAGGCCAGCCACGCTCCAGCCCCCTCTCTTGGCCACGGCTGCTTTCCAAACCTGTGCAGCCCAGCACAACTTTGCAGCCACTGCTGCCCTTCTAGGGCTGCTGTTGAGGTGGGAGCCAGACAGGCTCCTTCCCTTCCTGCTCGTGCCTGGGAGGTGGGACCAGAGGTGTGAGAGGGAAGGGAGATGGGCAGGGAGTGTCCCAGGAGGGCTGGGGTGGGTGAGTCAGGGAGAACAGCACTCCTGGCATTCACCACACCGTGCCCTGGCTTTTATCTAAACACAGTGCTCAGTCTGGTGCAAATCCAAGCAGTGTTTGGCCTCTTCTCTTTGTAAGGCCTCCTTGCATCTGTGAACCAGCTCGATCCTGTTAGCTTCCCAGCAAGAGGCACTGCTTTCAAAGAGCCAAGAGAGGGGGTGCACAGGGGAAACCCTTGCACCAGGGAAACAGGACATTGCACAGAGCCTGGGCAGGAGCCCCCCCTGTGCCTCAAGCTCCGGTGTCATGAATTTTCCTGCGAATGGAGAGGGGTATTTTATAGTTCTGACAATGCCAAGATTAAAATTGCAAAACTTGCCTTGTTTTTATTTATTATTTCAAGCAGGAACACGGCACTGTGAATAATCTCCTCTTCTTGCTTGCTTCAGACCCTCTTGACCTCTCAAGATAAACCTCACTGGGTGCCCAGTGGTACCAAGCCTATTTTTCAAATCAACAATACTGAAATATGTGAAAGGCAGCTGAATGCTGAGGAGAAGCTGTGATTTTATTTAACATACCACTGTGAGCTCTCCCTGTCTATCAACAGAAGGTTTCCAGTGCTGGAGCAACACAGTCAAGGGCATCTCCTATTTATTTTTAAAAATTTATCTCAAATCCTGTAAGAACTATTTAGTTGAAGAACTCAGCCTTCATCAGTAACTTAATCTTCTGCTCCAGCAGTTACTAGTCCCACTTAAAACTGTAACTTAGCACCACTTACAAGGATCCTGCATGCTGTCTTTGAATGAGAAAATGAGAGACTCCAGGAGAACTCTGAGAACAGCAGTTGGGTCCCTACAGTATTCTGTGATTTAGGGCAACTAGAGCAAGCTTTCCTCCCCCCCAGACATCAGTTGTCACTCCTGTTTTCAGACTCCTGGTTCCCCAGGATCCAGGCTGGCTCCCTTGGCACGGCCAACGCTTCCAGCTGCTCAAGACTGGAATGTCAAGGAGAAATAAAAGTCCCTGGTGGACACAGTGACATGTAAGGCTCCTTTCCAATGGCATGACTTCCCACATGTAAAGTAGCCTTGCCCAAACATACTGAAACATAAACTGCTGGCACTGTGCCCATGCTCTGAAGGCAATGGTACATTGTTTGGCTGTATGGGAAAGCCTAAAGAACTCAATTAATCACAGTGGACAAGGCTCTACCCTAAATTTGTGCAAAATGCCTAGGACAATGTGATCTTGATGCTGACTGGAGCTTCCAGACATGGTTATAGCACACATAAAAATTATTTACCTATATGCATGTATATACATCTAAAAACCCTAAAAAAATTTTCATATACATACATATTTATATACCTAAAAATAATTCAAGGAGAACCAGCAGCTTTTCTATGTTTGCTTTCCACGAACAATCGACCCGTTGACCTTCACCCACATGATGCAGTTGAGAAATGTAGCACAAGAGCCACGTTTGCCAAGGGAATTCTGGATCAGATAACTCTGCCTCTGAGCCTGGCTGTTCTCTCGGGTCACATGTGCCTCATCACGGCCCAGGAGATGGGGATGTGTTTTCCAACGCTGTGATTTACTCACGAGCATTTTGTTTACAGGAAGTGAAATTAAGTCTGAGGAATAAGTGTTTTGTGACGAATTATTCGCCCTGAGAAAGCGGCAGCATTTAGCTGCTGTATTTTATTGACCTATAGAGCCCTTCTCACGGGTCCCAAAACACGCTGTGGTATTACAAATTAGGGGTCTCTGCAGAGGCTCCTAAAGTACTGCTAGAAAATGTCACCTGCAAGGATACAATATCATTCATCACCAAAATGAATGTGTCTTCTGAGGTGTAAACTAGCAGCTCTTGTAAGAGTAACATGAAAACAACTGCTTAAAGAAGTAGGATGCCATTTCTCTCAGAGTACGTACTTTTTTAGGTGGCCAGATCTGTTCTATTAGAAAATGACATTATATATGGCATTATATCAGCCATGTAGTGAATGTACCAGTCATTTTATTCAATAAAATATGCTTGTAATCTGGTACTTTTAAAAGAAACACTGTACTGCCTCCTAATTTTTTCTTTTAAATGTGGTAGGGTGTTTTTCAAAGAAAAGGGAAGTCAGACACTTCACTCACAATTTGATTTTTCAACTGACATTACACACTTGGTTCCATTTTGCTCCTTGGGAAAAAAAAAATCTCCTTCTTGGGCCAGCACCAACTAAATCAGCATGTTATCTGTCTGCCCTCCATATGCCAGCTAGCAAGAGCTGAGGCACAGTGAGGCAACCAAGTGGCAGTTTGCTAGAGATCTCCTCCAAGGAACAACAATATTGTAATTTCTATCCATACAAGCACGTGCATCGTGCATATTGCACGTGGGCACATCAAGTGATTTAAAGCATGGCTTGGTTTTCAAAAATAACATATTATTGCCTATTAATCATTGTCCTTGGAAGTCCTTTCATCAATTTACAGGCCCTCTTCTGCTGTGACTGCCAGCCATAATGATTTCACAAGCTGGGATGATGAAGACAAACATTAACTGTTGTTTACAACTACACTGGTCGTTGATTAAAAAAATAAATCCTCGTGGAGTCACAAGAACTCCATCTGCAATCAGCCCGCTCATCCAGCGAGTAAAGCCCCGTGGTGCCCTGGAAAAGTGCTTGCTCAGAGCTGGAAGCCAAAGTGGAAGCTGAGAAGCTGCAGTGTGTCCTCCTCGGGGCTGGCTGCCCGCGCCGGCGCCGGGCAGAGTCGTGCCCGCTGGATGCACCCCGGCGGGTGGGATGCTGCCAGCAGCAGCCTCCTTCCACGGCTGGCACGCTGTGGCCACCACGATCCAGTCTAGCTAATCACACCAGGGTGTAAATCCACGCCCTGTGCCTCAGACACCCCCTTGGGAAAAATCCAGGAAGGAGGGTTTTTCCACGTCTGACGTGCTGCAGCCCCTCGTGCAACATAATGTAAGTAATTAGAAGGAGGCTTGGGTAGAATGATCTCCATTTCGTGCCAACTAGGAACTAGATTCCTTAATGACATTTCTTCAGAGGAACTTTCATCATTTTCTTATGTCACCCAGTGCACGCCGAGGTAGGGTTTGGGGAGCTTTGTGATAGTTCTGTCTAATTTAGACAGGATGTACTTAGTGGAGGAACTGCTTCCTTCCATGATTACTGAATCACACTGTATTTATACAGGGCTCTGCGAAATTTCAGCCAGAGCACTCAGGCACCCAAGCTGCACAGGGAGGATGCAGGCAGTACCTTCCTACCCAGAAAAGACTTCCTAAGGCTCTAGAGAGAGTGCTTACCTGTACACAGTATTTTCTCTGTGTAGGTCTTCCAAGCCACAAAGAATCTCTGCTGCATAAAACAAAGCTCTTTCCTCCTCAAAGCCTGGGTTTCCCATGTTGTAGATGTGAAACTTCAGGTCACCTCCGTTCATTATGGTCAGAACTAAACACAGGGCGTCCTTTGTTTCATAGGCATAGGCTAAATTGACCTAGAAAAACATTTGAGGCACAGTTGTGACAGTTCAGTTAGCTGCTAAGAAGGAGGAGCTGGCTTTTCATTAAAGAATTTTTTTCTAGAAAAGTTAAAAAATGCATTGACTGAATTCGATATGGGACTTATCTAACGGCAAACACACAATTTAAAGGCACAGAAAAATCAGATGTTAGGAGCCTGTAGATTAATTTGTTCAATCCAGCCTATTTATCATCAGAAACCCTCAAGGCTCAGATAGCCTCACAGGCTGGACAAGCATACTAATTCCAGGCAGATTTTTTGATGTAAGAGGGACCTTAGTAATGAAGGGAAACTACACCTCCTGCTGCCCTGTTTTGCATCTCAGTAGGTTCCCTGGAAGGCCCAAACAGACCAGTCCTGGAGGATCCAATGGACCATCACTGAGACATGAAGGTCAGTGTTATTTCTTTGAGGCTCTTGTGAGTGCCCCAGGAAAAATCAGAGAAGTCAAAAGCTAGCCATCACTTTTAAAAACGTGCCATTGTTCTTGGTTTCTGCCAGAGGTAAGTAAACATCTTGTAAAGTAAATATCTGTTGTATACACAGTGTTTCCTGAAATAAGTGTAAGGAACACGGCAGATGCTGAGATTACACCTTTCTCTTTTTTCTTTTTTTTTTTTTTTTTAACTAAGGGAGGTTTTAAAAGAGGCACAAGAGCTGGTGTGACCCAGGAAAGCCCTACATCAGGCAGACCAGCTCCACTTCACTGCTTAGATGCTTCTACAAGCCAGTCTCTTCTGATCTATTCAGGTTGAACCTGCTTTAGTCTCTCCCGAGCTCCTCTCTCCCAGACCCTGGGAATTCAGGTAATCACGCTGGATAAAAATAGCTCAGGCTGATGCAGCTGTGATGCAAGTCAAGGCTGCCAAACGCATCACGTTCCCATGGCAGGCACAGGCTCCTTGGTCGGCGCATTTCTCACGCACCAGAGACCAAAATGAGACCCGGCGAAGGTGCAGGGGGCAGGACTGAGGTGCAAAGCAAAGGGCACCTTCCCAGGAGCGGGAGATGGAGGAGGCACCGGATTCAACCAGGGCAGTGCTCAGGAGGTGAGCGGGGAGCCGAGCTCAATACTCACTACAAACTGACTATTGACTTTTTCTAAGATCTGCTTCTCGTTTAGCGCCATGGATTCGCCTTTCCTCTTCTTGATCCTCTTCTTCTCTAATCTCTTGCAGGCGTACATCTTCCCCGTCGCCCGCACTTGGCAGGCGCAGACCTGCGAATTAGAGAGAACAATTGCTGGGTAATTCGAAGCAAACGCTGTGTCTGGGCTGCACTTTGCTCCTCACAATCTCTTCTGATTTAGTCCTTTTAAGGCGAGAGACCGAGGCTTAGCGAATAAGGCTTGGGCGGGGGCAGCAGGGGGAACCGACTACTGTTTCCAAACCTGCTGTGTAATACTGGTTTAATTATTTCACTTTCCTCCGCCTGCTTCCCTATCCCACCTCCTTTTGTCTGTGCAGATTGTGATCTGCTCGGCCACAGCCCGCCTGCACCTCCCCTGCCTCTCCAGCGACCTCCAGCCACCAGTAAAACACAATTAAGGGTGTGGACCCTCATTCAAATGTGAGTGTAACATCCAAACACAAAATAACCCTCAGAAGTGTTCTTTTCGGATTACAGTGTCCCGAGGGGTTAAGTAAAACTGTCAGCAATTAATGAAAATCAGCCTCTGTCGCATCAGGCTCCTGTACCTGCAGCGCCTAATAAGTAAGAAACACTCTTTAACAGAAAGTTTCAGAATCACTCACCTCCCCAAAGCCGCCCTTCCCCAGTACCCTGTACTGCCGAAACGTGTTTTTCGTTACTGGTTGCCTGGAAGAAAAGGAAATAAATAAATAAATAAATAAATAAATAAATAAAAGGCACGCTACATTTAATGCACTCTCAGTGATTTATTTATTTCAGAGCATACTTTTGAAAAGCAAAATAGATAGATATTACATAATCACATTATCTCAGGGTAATCATATAATATAATATAATATATAATTATGTAATTACATTACTTCAATACTATGTATGGCTTGAACTTTTCAATTCCAACATATTAAGCTGTAATAAAATACAACACATTAGTGAGTCATCAGGATAATTTCTGCTAGCATCTTAAGACCAAGGAGGGTTCTGAATCTCCATTATACAGCTTTGGCTTTTGTTAAGCAAAGAGGGGGCCTGAAAGCTTCCAACAAGATATTAATTCCCATGATATATAGGATGGTGTAACACATGGCTTTGTTTGGTGTGCAAGATGAGAAAAAGAGATCCACTAGAAAATATTTCTGGTGTCTTAAACAAAACATGAAACTGATGTGAACCAAGGAAAGAAACAATCCTGGGAACAGGAGAGGTAGATTTATGTGGGAGAAGAGGAAGCCAAGCTCCAAGCCAGCCCGTCCCCCCTGGGCTACCTGCCTCCTGGGGGAGTGAGTGTCACAGGCAAGAAGGGAGCAAAAATCAAATTAAGGGTTAAATAAGTCTGTCTCTGAGGGCAGAGTGCTCCCTAACAACCACGAGACATGATCTCTGTGCAATCTCACAGGCTTCCCACAAAATCTGCTCCACCAGAATGGCTCCAGACCCACATCTAACTTTTACTTTGCTACCACAGAGGTTTTATAACATGACAGAGAAGAATTCTAGATTCGTAGAGATCCGATTTTGTATCCACCACTCCATCTCCAAAGTTTTACAGCTATCTTAGCAGTGGAAATGGATATTCCTCCCATCCTTGTTCCCCTCTGGCAGGTGGCCAGCCTGCAGAGGGAGCACAGTAATGTGGCTGTTCCCACCACAGGGATGATGAGGTTGATGACAATGAGGAATAAATGTTAAAGTGAATAGTTTCATTAACGTCCATTATTGTTTTTCGAAGTGGAAGAAGAAAAATAATGGAGAAGGTCAAAGCTAGAAGAGGAAAAGATGCTATTTTCAGGCTTCTGCGAGGCTGCTGCAAATGCTGTTGGGGTTAAAAGCAACAATTAGCAGTGATAACTACATGTTCAGCAATGTCCCTGGAATAAATGGACTGTGTGACTGCTCCGTTAGAGCCAGTAGGCTGTCAGAAGGAGCTGGTGATCACTCCATGCTGCTAACATCTCTGTGCTAACCTAAAAGCAGTTCTCCCAGCTTCTTAAGCCAGGCATATCCAATGGCTTGTCCTAGTTGTTGGGGGAATGGGAAAAAAAAAAAAATCCTCAAAGCATTTCAGAAAATTCCTTATCCCAGAGGTGAAAACAGGCAGGAAATAGCCTGGCCAGAGACGAATCTTCCCATGGTTTTTTTTTAATTGAAATGGAAGAATAAATGCTGGGCTCTGCGAAGATGGCACGTGGAGCATGTCCTGGCACAAAAGGGCCCCTCTGCCCACCCCTCCTGTGCAGCAGCTCTGCAGCTTTCCAGGGAGAGGAACTGGCCCAGCTCCTTTGATCTCCGAGGCCTCCCGCTGACACACACCGCTGGTGGCTCCTGCCCTAACGCATCCGCCATAATTAATCCCATTTGTGGAAACTGGGTCTCCTCTCAGCTCAAGGTCACTGTTACCCAGCAGTGAACGTCTGCTACAGCCCTCCCTGACAGGGAAAAGGCAGGACCCCCTTTCCTCGCAAATTAATACCCACTAAGGCTGCTTGGTTATTAAACGTGCTCAGAAATGTCGAGCAAATACATATGGTTTGAGGACCCTCTCTGTTTAGAGTGATGTAATAACAGTGACAACTGGTGCAGAGAAAAAGTCACCATATTCAGAAAAGACAACGGAAGTTGCTGAATGAACATTAATCATACCTAATACACCTAATGTACCTGATACCATTAAAGGGCCAAACACTCGAGCTGTAGAAGCAAACATATCAGATTTTTGAGCATATTCTATGTACTTTGCATGGAAAGTAAAAATAAACATTTTTATTTATTTTCATTTAAAAAGAAATAAATCTTGTGACAACTTACCTTTCCAGCCACTTCCACTGAAGAAACCTATCGAAGTACATGCTGCTTAGGTATTCTTGGAATGGTTCCCCACTGAGGTGGTCAAGGACAGATCTATCTCAGATGAAAAGGATATATAAGCATTTTATAATCCTGAACTTGGAGGCAAAAGAGAAACAAAACAAGAGGAAAAAAAATCCAGACTTCTCATCTGCTAGGATTATTTTACTTTCACTTTATTTTTCACTTTATTTTACTCCCAGTTTCAATCTTGCAACAAAGTGATATGTTTGATGTATTTCATAACAGGAGGCCTTATACAAGCTGAGCAGTAATATACACTGAAAATTAATAGGGCAACTCCCATTGGCTTCAATGAACTTTTCCAGAGGTTGTTAGCCACTAGACAACAAATGTCTTTACTTCTGTTACTCAATTAACACTACTCCCTCAGGAACTGAGCTCCTAAACCTTGGGGGACGTTTATATCTGGATAGAGAATTTCTGGCTGAAGCCCATCTCTGCCAAAGAGGCTCCCTCAGAGGCACCATTCTGAGTAAAAATATCAATTTCAATTCCTGCTACACAGAAGAAGGAGTACATGTGACTGAAGTCAAAGGGGTTTTCCCAACAGCTATGTACTTTGTAGAGCAAAACAGAAGAAAGAAAAGTCTGAACAGGGATATGGATTTGTTTCTGGACAAAGAACAAGCATTTTGGGGCTCATGCAGTGGGTGCAAAATCTTTTGCATAATGAAAAGGAATAAAGGAATAAAAAGGCCAGTCTGCAAACGTGAGAACAAAGTCTGTTGCTTGTGACAGGCAGCCAGAGACCATCAGGCATCCCATAAGAGAGGCCAAGGGTTCAGAACTAAGCAAAGAGGGGCTGAGCTGAGCCAGCTGACTGAAATGAAGGTGGTTGCACTGTTTGCCAGGGGGCTGTTCACCTGCTGCTGTTGGTCCTTGCCTTGCTTACCCACCTCTGCCAGCAGCACTGGCAGGACAAAAGTTGGTTTGGGGTGAAAAATGCCCATTAAAACAGGAGTATTTCTGTCTTGGTGTATACAGACACTTTTGTGTCCATGTCTAAGGGTATACAGACACATTTCCAGATTTTGCTGGAAGGAGGAAAGCCTCTCTGAAGGACTACTCTAGTTTGGGAATGGATAGTCTATGTCTTACCCTGAGGCAGTTCTAGACCTGAGCAGACAAGTCATCATGAATAATGTGTCTCCCCTGTTCCTGAGCTACTATTTTTGGAATTTCTCAGCTCTTAATTTTTTTTTTTTTAATTCTTGCACCCTTAGTTTGGAGCAGGCAGGTAATTGCACACACTCAACAAGTCAAATTTTTGTCTTCATTAGCTTTGACTGGACACAGATAATACAGTTCCCCTAATGGATTCAAGCTTACAAAATAAAATAAAAAGTAAGTCTTAGATGTGCAGTTTTAAATGGAGGCAGGAGCAGACAGTCAAAATATTAAAGGTCAAAGCAGGAGTTAGAGTTACACATGAATTTTTCTTGCAGACTGATTTTTATTTATGAAGATGTGAACGACACTCATCCCTGTCCCTACTCCTACAGGACAGCAGGCTTCATATTTGTATGTATGCCTCCCTTCTTTGGTCTGAACTCTTTCAAAATTAACGTTATTCAATACCAGTAAATACCAACAGCAAGTTTTTAAAAGTTCCTTTTGACCTCATTTCAGTCCGTGTGAAATGACCAGCATATTTATTACCAGGGCTTCAAACCTGGCTCATTTATCTGCTTTAGAGATGAAGGAATGGCCGTGGGTGAATGCGGGCCTGCATTAAGTGGTGTCCAATGCTCGCCTCTTCCATTCAGTTAATTAAAAGCCCCACGTATTTTAGAAGAACAATAGCTGCCTTTCAGCAGTTGTTTGCTTTTGAGTTCCCCCTCTTTGGCAACAACGAAGTGCATTTTAGAGGGAACTGTCAGCTTTCAAAGCGATTGGAGGACTGGGAGCAGGCATCAGGGGGGGTTGTGTGGAGCACAGCTCTGCCTTTGTCGCTGGGACTGGCACACACCAGCGGTATGAGCTGCAGAGCATCTCTACACGGCACCCGCCACGCTCTAAGAGAGGGCCAGAAATAACCCACAGCTCCTACCAACGCAAAGAATAACTGAAAACAGAAAAGGTCAATGAAATGAGTCAAAACAATGAATGACAGCGGAGCGAATGTTACAAATCCCCATTACATCATCCAGGGAAAACAAACCGCGCTCGGCCAGAAACCACATGGGCCGGCGTGTGATGATCCCTCCTTTTCATATTTTCGTTGGGTTATGAGCTACTGGCCAGCGTTTGCAAAGGCAGATCGCATACCTGGAGCTTTAGCACATAATGGCCCCAATCGCCTCCCCGCTGCAGGAACTGATAAGCCTTTTCCCAGACAAAGGGGGAAATAATGCCCGTTGGTTGGAACGCCAAGGGCAGACAGAAAGCATTAAAAAAGTCCCATTCTCCTGGTGAAGATTTTCTGGAAAAGCCATGCGGAGCAAGTCTGCACATTCCTCTGTCTAAATGGACCGTATAGCCACTTAATTTTTATTCACTTTGAAACAGAGATGTTTTCTTTGGATACATTATCATCGTAGCTCTTTTCACACAGCATGAAATCCATGGCTGGTTTACTTGGCTAGAACACTGTCAAATACCTGAAACAGTAAGGGCCTGTGTGTAGTGTATATAATGGCATGGAAATATTTGTTGCATTTTGTTCAGATGAAATGACTTCACTCCTTGTCAGCTATGCCTCCAGGATCAGGAGTAGAAGCCAAAGATACCTGCCTCAGGTTCGAACTGCAGTGTTTCTCCCCACCTGACACATTCCTCACGAGCTGCTGGCTGCAGCCCTGTGATCTTTGGGGATCGAGTTATACTTACTTTGTACAGTGGGAGAACAGCTCTTTGCAGGGGCTGTTTTCGAGTTTCTCCTCTGTCTGCTGGACAAGGTCTTGACTGACTTCGGCAACGTAGGCTGGAGACTGGAGAGAGAAGAGAGGGGCACGTTAAGTCAGTGATGAGGTGCAGATTCTCCTCTCTTAACGTGTAAATGGCACATTCATTATTTATGCCCTGAGCCGCTTCCATTCGATTCCAGCGGTTGTGTAAAAGCAAAGGAGCTTTACGTCAAACAGCAGTAAAATAGGATACCGTGGCAACTCCTCCACATTCCACCCTATCCCCACACTGCTTTTCTGCCTTCTCCTGTACCTTCACCTCCTTGCCCAGCCTCATGAATATGCAGGACACACTCCTTGCCAATTCTTTGAACTGCTCCCTTGCATCCCATGAAAAATGTGCTGGCCTGAACTGTGTACAGGCCATTCTATTAAACAAAAGAGAACTTGCCCAGTGTTTTCACTTCATGGGCAATTCACTGTGCTGTCTGAAAAATCCAGCAAAGCAAAACAAGAGCAGAGCACTGGTGTGCGTGTGTGTGCGTATATATATATATACGTATATATATATATATGAAGATGTTCACAAAAGTGTCTGGATGAACACCTTGGTTCACCCTTAAAAGGAAAAAGAATAATTCAGCAGCTTTAAAATGATATTTTCAAAGAGGAACTTTGCCAACCAAGCACATAAACTCTTTTCATCCTCTCCTCCCTTTGGAGACAATGTACATTCAGCCCCTTCAAAAAGCCCTTGCCAAAGAGAGGTCTCTTGCAGTATGCCTTGATGGTTAACCAGTTTAAGATGTTTGGGATTAATTATCTAAAAAGACAGTTTTTAGGCAGTCTACATTCTTACTCATTGAATGCACACTGTAATTGTATTAAAAAGTGTATATTTGTGTGTGTATGTGCACCTATTTATAGGCAATTCTCCCATTTACATGAAAGTCCCTTTATATAAACAATTTAATTCAGGTATTTACAATAAATCCACCATAGATGACAAAATCCTCTTTCCCTGCAGAAGCCTTAACACTCTGTAAGGTTCCCCATCCGTGGCCATGACCACCAGATGTGCTGAGTGGGTGGGTCACAGAGCATCATCACTCATTCCTGGCCAGATGTTCTCATTAACTCATCCTTAGTTGGAGATGTCTTGGCAAGCACTGAAACACAGTGCAGGCAGAGTTCAAAAACACTGGGAATAAGGACAGAGGAAGGGGCAGAGGTGGAGCCACAGAAAATCCCCAGCATGGGGAAAGCTGAATTAAGTCTTTTATCTTTTCCTTCCCGCTGCTGAAATGTGAATCTGATCCTGCTTGTGACATGAAAAAGTAAGTTTGTTCCACTTGAATGTTTTCAAATAGGAATGTGGTTTAGAGGACTGTCTGTGCATGCTGTGTAATGCAGCCTCACTGTTCAGCCTTGACAGACCATCTGCAGAACGTGCTGGGGATACCTTTGACCTCACCCGAATGTTTCCTCATTTCCTCAATATATTCCTCCATTTCCTCAGCAAAAGATATCTAGGGAACAACTATTTTTAATCACAGACAGAGTAGATTACTAATAATTAAGAAATTTCATAGTTTCTTGAGAGGCAGCTAAGCCCCCATGTTATCATCCAGAAGTTGAGGAGACTGAGACAAAGCCAGACATTCTCAGCTTGATTGACCACTGAGGCTGACAGGAACTGAGAACTGTAGAACAAGTCTCAGTAAACCAGAAAACTTACAGAAATCCTTAACTATAGATGCCCATGATGAAATCTAAGCCCCAGTTTTAGTTCAAGAGAGTAAGTAGAGGCAAGAGTGAAGCAGTGAAAGAACTAGGAAAAAAACTCAGAAGTCCCATTTTCCAGTCCTAAAGCATTGAATCTGTTGGGGGGAAAGAAGAAGGGAAGCAGATTTTAAAAAAAAAGCCTTTTAAAGCAATACTGAGATATAAACCAAAGCCTAATGATTAGCAGTATTTCAGGTGATTTTGGATAGAGATAGATGAATTAATACCTTTCATGTACAGTTTTTGTACTCAGTGGGTAACATTTGCAGCCCAAAGCTGGTATGTGCCTGAGTGAATCCAGTTCAAGATGAACATCTCTCTGATTTACATGGTCCAGAAACACCACTGAACTCCACAGTGTTTGTACTGCTGTGAATCAGGAAGGTTGTCTGAGGTGAATGGAGCAGCACTTCAGGAAAACTGACACTAGAACCTGTAACTAAAGTTACTAGTACCTAAATCTAGAACTTGTTCTACATTTATAGGTCAAAGCTGGAATCCAAAAGCTAAGTACTACACTGCATAATTAGTCATCTAGACCAAGTGACCTGATTCTTACTCATACCAGGCAACTTCATGTCCCTATGGGAATTCATTTCCCAATGAAAGGTAAGTTGCCTTGAGGTTAGTGTTGAAGATCATGCCCAGGATGCATTACTAGAGTACTAAATCCATCAAACTTCTTCTGAGATCAAAGTACATTTAAAAAAAAAATTATAAGCATCAGCTAACTCTTATTCATAATAAGAAATTAAATTCTTGGAGGGAACAGGGGGAAGAACAAGAAAAAGAAATGGTCAGACAATGTGGGAATTATTTAAGAATGACACAAACTGTGATTCCTCTCTCCAAGTTTGTGGGAGATACATTCACCACTGGTTTTTCAAAACCAGTCATTGCTGACCTTTGAATCTTTGCTTCCTCTGAACAAATTGAGGGCCAGCTAACAATATCAAGGTAGGCAAAGACATAACACACTGACATCCTGGACATGGACTAAAGCCTTACAGTGTAGTGCAAACACTTTATTAGACCATTTCATTTTCTATAACCAAAAAAAACTCACCTTTTTTTTTTTTCCAGAGGCTGATAATTTCCAAAGGTTCTGCAGGCCCAGCAAAACATTTTATGTCATTCTGCAACCCCTCCTTGTGTTCAGGGCACCACGTGCATGAGAGAAGCACACCCAACCCTTTCTAATCCTGCACACGGTTCTAGGGAGCCTTTGTATGATCCTTCCTGAGATTTTCCTTGAGACTTCATAGTTCCCACTGCTCCCCTTAAACAGCCATGGATGCCATTTTCCCTGTGTGAGTACTGTGCATACCTACAGCCTTCAAATGTTCAAACAAAGCCAGAAACAATTACAAGCCAAAACCCAACCCACCAACTGACTTTTGCTCCCCTGGAGAACAATTAGGCAGCACAGGTTATGAGTGCAAGGAAGCATTTGGATCCCAAGAGTGAAAGCTTCCAAAGGTAACACTCTGGCCATTTACAGATGAAAAAATTGCTTCTTCCCTGGAGAGGTGCAGAAGATTTCTGCAGCCCCAGTGAAACGGTTATTAACACCATTCTCCTGCTGCATTATGGGCAATGGCTGTAAAAGCAAATTCAGCTTTTACAGGGGAACAGAGACACCTTTTCCAACATATTAAATGTCCTGTGGCAGCTAGGAGAGCAATACACCACGATTAAGACCATTACCTCTGAGTTTGTGACAAAGAATATTCTGCTAACTCTTCAGAAACACCTGCAGAAACCAGTTACATTTTCTTGCATTCAAAACAAAACACTGGGGAGTTTTAACAAGTACAGTCCCATATTTTCTCTAATGGCTATTCTGTTTCCTGAAGGCAAGGAAAGCGATTCTTGAACTCCTTTACAGTAACATAAATCAGAAATTATGCCAGTCAACTCAACAAAGTAACACCAGGGTAAAGCTGATGGAACCTAAACCAGATTAATGGCCAGACTCTGGCAGCACAAGAAGTGCTTAAATTGATCCTACAACAAAAATTTCTCTCATCACGTTATCTTCTTTGACCACACAATGTAATAAGATTCCAGAAGTCCACAGTACTTTCACCAGGTTTTAACCAAAATCTCCTACCTCCTGTATCTTCCCCTTTATGACCAGAAACTGAAAACCTTTGTATAAATATTTTGCTGGCAAAGCAACATCTTGGTTTTATGATGCCTCTTGCTTAATTTTTAAGAAAAGAATGTAACTAGGAATTGCATTAGTGGTTATCTGAGAAAAAAAGAAAAGGGTGCTCAGTTACTTCTGAGTTACTTCTGCACATACAGCACAAACCTGCATGAGCAGAGTTGGTTTATTGTGTGTAATGCTGCTGTTTCCATGGAAAAAGTGCCCAAATGACAAAGGGAACTGAGAGGGATGTGTTGAGACCCCAGCTAAAGACACTCACTCACCATTTCAGAAAACTACAGACAGCTGACAAGAGCACCAAGTGCCTGGAGAGTCGAGAACTATGTCTGGGGAAAAAAAGCCCCAAAGGAAAGCATTGGGGAATTAAATCTGTTTAGTCTGGAAAAGCAAGGGTGAAACATGACAAAGGTCTTTTAATATAAAAATGGTTTTAATAAAGAGGGCAGGGATCAATTATTCTGCATATTCTGCTCTACACTGGGGGAATGATGTGAAGAAATCCACTTAATTGGATATGAAGGCTTTTTTAGAAAAATTTTCACACAGGGAAGCAGAAGAACAGGCATATGAATACTGTGGAATCTGTTCTCAGAGGTCTGAAAGACCTCCAAGGGCACTCAGACATCTGTTGATCATCTAAGTGTATTTGATCTCTGTTCAGTGCAAGAGGCTCTTGAGCCCTCTCCCAGTCCTTTGTATAAATGATTTTGCAAAACACTGGGCTCCATAAAACACAGGCACATGGCATGGCCCTGAGAACAGCTGAGGAAGGGAGTTTGTGTGCTGAGTGCTCACCAAAGGAAACCCGAAGCTCTGAGCAAGGGAATAAGTATCTTCTTTGCAAATGATCAGTCCTGCTTCAAGGACACTTGTCTCCATCGTCACTGTCTCCTAAAGCAATAAATGGAAGAGCCTGCAGAACCCTGAACTTCTGATCAGAAAAAGGGAGAGCTTCGAGTTCAGTCAGACTGCCTTTGCAAGAAAGAGAACGGGGTAATTCTTTATCCTTGCACAGATCCTTTCATCTAAGAACCAGCAAATATTAAAGCTTCATTGCCTGATTAAGTCTTCATGAGCTAGGTGGCAATCTCACAATATTTTACAGAGCAGTGAACGGGAGGTTGAG